CATAAGATTTATGCTATTGCTTGATAAAAAGATGCATTGATCCAGGACTCCTACATTTGCAATATGGAGAACGAGGAGTGTTTTGTGGAGGGCAAAAGAAATCTAAATGATTGGGAAGTCAGAGAGGATAAAATCTTACTCCTTGCCTTGCTAGTATTAGGCCTGATGGAACAAAAGACCGACCCTTTTGGAGCCTCAAAGCTTGAACAATTTTTTTTCTTAGACCATCCTACAACCACCTGACAAAAATGGAGGTCACAGATTAAGACTTTCCATCCAAGCAAATTTGGAAGGTTAATGTATCGTCTAGAATTGCCTTTTCTGCACTGGAGCCAGTTACAGGGTGCATTCTAACTCTGGACAAGTTGATTAGGAGGGGAAGGATTCTGGTGCATAGCTATTACCCATGCAAAAGGGATGCAAAGTCGTGCAACCATATTCTATTGTGATGTCCCTTTGTCTATAGACTTTGGATCCTTGCTTATGGCATCTTGCACATTAATTGGGTGATGGCTGCCTCAGTGAGGGAAGAAATTTAGGCATAAAAAGAAATTACTAGTGTGAAAAAGTACATTAACCTGATCCCCCTTGCCATCTTTTGGGTGATATCAAGAGAAAGAAATAAGAGAGCTTTCGAGGACAAGGAAGTGGATTTTGAAAAGGTTTAAGGATAGCTAGTTCCAAGCCCGAGGTTCTTTTATCAAGGGTCATCCTCTTTATTCTTTTGAGGATCTTGGAGATCCTATTGATATTTTGATTAATATGAAAATAATTTGTACATGGATTTACACCCATTGATGCTTCTACTTCATCTTACTCTACTTTTTATTTCAGAAAAAAAATAAAAAATAGTTATATATGATGGAATTTCTTGGTTTTTCTGGTATAAGGGAATTAGAACTCCACAATTGGATTGTAATGCTGCTAAATGGCTTGGTGCAAGAACCAGTGGAATTTCTACATTATAGGATTGGGAAAAAAAAAAAAGAACACCCTGATAGATTTCTCAAACTCACTGGCTTTAACAACCTTATTGGATAGATATCTCGAATAACTTATTGCTTTAAATATCCAATAGAAGGCAAGAAAAAGAATTTGAGAGAGCAACAAATTTGGCGAGTTGGAGGGAAGGAGTCATAAGTATGGTCTTAAACAAGATTGACAAGGGGAAGAGAAGACCTCCTAAACATTTAAGGGGTCATAAGCATCAATCAAATCAACACCATCTGAATTTAAACAACCGTAAGTAACTAGATCGCTTCAGAATTTAACAGAACTAAGTAAATTCCCGGAAATAGTTCTGCCATTTTCTCTAAATCACTGTAATTTTGCCTATTGACCACATTTTTAACCTGGTCATTGCACTCTTCTTTTCAAAAAAAAAAATTCTGGCGTTCTGTAAATTGAGAACTTGGAACTCAAAATTCGCTATATCCATCTTCAAATACCAACCCAAACGACTAAGTTCTGATCATATACTTAACATTTCCCACAAAAAGAAAAACAACTTATGAAGTAATACTAAACAATGAAAGAGGTCTGAGTAAAGAAAACAGGAAACAAGTCAACAGGAACAAAAGCAGACCTCCCTGGGTGAACCTAGCACCGAGTTTAGCATATGAAGATAGCTTGACGTCGAGATCGCCCTCGATCTTCCGAGCTTCTCTCCTGAGCTCCTCCCAACCCGACTCCTGCAAATCGAGATTCGGATCCGTCATCTGGATAGTGGCAGTTCAAAACCAGGATCGTCCGGCTTCGACAAGAGATGTAGTTCGGAAAGAGATCCGACAGTAGCAATTGATCTTGTTACTTGACATTCAATTTGCATTGACTGAAGATGCGTTTGTGTGTGCCATAGAAAGTCCCTTGTTCGTTGCTTGGTGGTGTATATGGGCTGGCAGGGAGAGGAGGGAGATGGAGATTGGAGACGACGTCCTGAGAAAACATGTTCTGGTTGATTTGAACCAGTTAGCACCTGGCAGCCCGTTGTTGAACTTGGCCGGGCTTTTGATTACTTGTAAAATAACTAACGATTACATGCCAGGCCCAAAGGACGTCATTTATTTTCGCATATCAGATAGTATTAAAATTTTGTAAATAATTATTTAAATTATTTTTAAAATATATTTATTTTATTCAATCGAAATATTATTTTTAACATATAGTACTATTACATTCTAAAATAAAAATCGTTTTTATAATTTATAATAAATAAAAATATTGATAATAAAGTAATATTATATTATTATTATAAAATATCTAATTTATTAATTTATGGAATATAAAGATAATAAATATATTTTTCGGAAATAGTATTTATCTTATATAGTATAAACTATTTTCCAAAAGCAATCTCTTTTTAGCCGTTGATTTCATTTTTATCAAAAATTAAAAATAATTTCTAACTTTAATTAAATTTATTTTTATTTTTTAATATATCTCTGTATTTTTAAAACTGTGGCTAAATGTAACCTAAGTATAAAATGTCAAGCATTATAAATAGAAATATCTTTTAAAAAAATCAATTTTATTTTTACTTTTAATGAAGATAAAATCAAAAAAAAATATTTTTTAAATAAAATTTGTATTATAAGCTAAATAATAATTTCAATAATTATATTTTAAAGATGGGTTCAATACAGCAAGTACTTATGTTATAAACTATTAAAATACTCCAAAAGTAAATTTCAGTAAAAATAACCTTAAGATAAAAAGTACTATAATATTTAATAATATTTCTTTCAAATATTTTCAATATGACATTATATTTTGCTAATTTATGTTATAAAATTGATAGAAAACGTAAAAAATAAAAAATAAAAGTTATCATAACAATAAAATTAATTAATTTAATTATTTTTAAAATATTTAAAAAAAATTATTCTAATAACTTATGTAAAGTTTTGTAACTTAAATGGAAATAAGGTTATAAATTAAATGCGGAAACAAAATAATAGAGTTAGGGTTTACATTTCTTACACAATATTTTAGAATACCCAATAAAAATACGAGAATGTTGTTTCTAAAAGAATAAACAAAAATCAAATGAATAAACGAAAGGCAAATAACTGAGCAATTCTATGACGACCTTCACTAACTTTTGAAGGAAATTCGGGTTGTGAACTATTCATAACATCCTTATTGATCGGAAACTGAATCTTTGTCCTTTTAATTTGAAATAGTTAACGAATAGATGAGCTACATTTACCTAGTATGAATATCACACTAATCATAGATACGGAAAACTAATGATTGGTAAAAATCATAAAAACAACTAATGGAGCCCTTAATTTAATATAAATTTATTTACTATAAAGAAAATCATTTATTCTATATTGTGTAACAAGTCTTTCCTAACAATAGTTTATGAAAACTCATATTCATACACTATTATTTATCACATATAAGATAATAAAAAATGATCATTTTACATTTTTACTCACTTACCGGTACTCCTGGTGATCCGTAGGGATATCCTCCTATTTGTTAACCCAATATCCAATTAAATAATCAACCAGCCGTGCCCATACCCCATCAGGTAATGAGTGCCAAATATTCCACCACCTCGATACCCCGTGTAACAGTCCAATACTTAAAAGGAAATAAAATCATAAATTGAATGCGGAAACAAAATAATAATATTAGAGTTTACATTACTTACACAATAACTTAGAATACCCAATAGGGATACAAGAATGACCCTTCTAAAAGAATAAAGAAAAATAAAAGAAATAAATAGAAAGTAAACAACTGGGCATCTTATTCGCAACCCTCTTGTGGATCGAGATCTGGATCTTGGTCCTCTTGATCTAAAATGATTAATGAAAGAGTGAGTTATACTAGTCCAGTAAAAATGTCACACTGCTCACTAATACAAAAATGAAGGTTGATAAAAATCATAAATAAAATAACCTAAATTAATTTTTAATGTTGTTTAAGATTTATTTATAAATATAATTTCTTAATTTTTTAATTTTTTAATTTTAATTTAGAGTAAAAATGAAGTAAAATTGATGGAGGACTAAATAAAAACAAATTGGAGAGAATGAGTGAAAATTCACGTTAGAAGGGGTATTTTTTGAAAGAAAAATCAGAAACCGATGGTCAAAATACAATTTAGAGAAATTTTGCCATGTAGGATGCCCAGTCACAGCCCCGACGAATTAGGACGCGTTGCGTGGCAGCGGACGCTAATGCGGTGCCACTCGAAAGGCCACACAGGCGATCCGCATGCTCGCGATCGGATGATCCATATTAGATCGCGATGAACGGTCCAGATTTACTCTCTATTTAATCGCGATCAGACAGTCCAAATCAAACGCGATAGATGGCCCAAATAAAAAGCGGACGAATATAAATAACTTCCATCCACACCAAACCCTAACCCTAGCTGCCAGACCCTCTCGCTGGAGAAAAGGACCCAGCTGCCGGGAAGGAGGCTGCCACTAGCCGTTGCCACGTCGGAGCCCTTTTTGACCGCCAAAAGAGGTTAAAAATTTTCTATTTGCTCAAAATTCAATTTTAAACACACCCATGGCCAAATCAGAGCAAAAAGATCGGCCGATTGGCCGAAAAATATGGGCAAAGCCCGGCGGCACTACCACGAGAAATTCTACAAAATGACTCCGATGAGGCCCTTCCCGATTCCCATTCTGCGTAATTTTTCCACCTTATGATCACCGTTTCCTTCTCTACAGGTTGACTGGAGCAAAACACCCAATCGCAACGTGAGCCGGAGGAGCCGCCGCACTGGAGAGCCCCGCCGCCGGTGAGTTTTAATTTTTTATATTTTTTAGACCAACCGAGGCCCCTTAACATATTTTTTCGTAGGGATTGATCCGAAATCGGTCAAAAACAGTTAACCCAAGGTGGACCGCCGCCACTGCGCCAGAGCATGGCAAAACCGCCATGCTAGAATTTTAAAATTGGCCAAAATGGGCCTTAAGACTGATTTAGGGTTTGTTTTGGAACATTTATAGGTACTTATAGCACGTTTTGATTCCTGGAAAAAAGTTCAGGGAACCCAGGGACCGCCAGCGGACGCAGTTAACAGTTTAATATTTTGGACATCAAATTGAGTAAAAATCTCTCACCCTATTCTCTGTTATAGAATTGAAGCCTAATTAACAATAAATACGATATTTTGTACAAGTTAGAAAATGTTTAGGATTAATTACCGATTGTTAATGGAGCTAGAACCGATTATTTATTACTGTTTACCATATTTCACTTATTGATTATTTTTACAGTTCAAATGCATGATAGTGTCTTATTCATTTATTTTATAGCTTTGAATGCATGTATTGTTGTTTTATATGTTTATGGTTGAATTAAAAAAATAGCGGTTAAAGGTAAACGGAAAACTTGTGTGATTAAGTGACTAGATGAAACAACAACCTTACTGGACATCCTAAGAGATGGTAGATGGACCGGGTACACAGAAAATCCTACCGTGAACATGTCTCATACCGGACAGGGTATGAAGACTTGGTAACTTGGTTCTCATACGGAACGAGGTATAGGGACGACCCACTTCACTCTAATATCAGATGGGGTATTGAGGTTTGGTAATTTGGTGCTCATACAGAACAGGGTATAGAAACAGCCCGTAATTAAGAATGTTAAAAAAAAAAAGTTCACGCGTAGCGGGGACATTCCTATGGACTCTCATGGATACCAACAGGCTGGTGGGAAAAGGGGCAATTATTATTTAATGATTTGAATATGAAAGTATAATATGTGATATGTTGCCAAGTATATACGAAATCATGATATATATAATGTTATTTTTTTTTATAGATTGTTTTCCATAAATCTCACTACGGTAAGTGGACAGTAAATGATTTTATTATTGATAAATAAATTTGCTTAATTTAGTGCTCTATTAGTTATTTTTTATTTTTTTCTACCAACTTTCATTTCTGTGTCGGTGATATAGTGTGATATTCTTACTGAACTAGTATAAATCATCTCTTATTTAACTATTTCAATCAAGAAGAGTAGGATCTAGAGCCCGATCCGTAAGAGGGTTGCGAGTAGAATGCTAGTTTTTTTTATTTTCTGTTCATTTCCTTATTTCTTTGTATTTCTTTCAAAATGGTGAATTCCGTAACACTAATTGGTACTTTAAGTTATTGTGTAAGGAATGTAAACCTTGAACATTTATTTCGCTTCTGCACTTTAATTATCATTTACTTCATTTGGATATTTCTGGGGACGTTACAGTTGGTATCAGAGTCATGTTCTTCGAACCCATTCCTTACACAAAACCCTTAAGAAACATCGAAAACAATGAATTGTCACTCACTCTTTCCTTATGAAATGCAGGTACAGATATATGAGAAGAGGAAGACTCCGACTAAATGGAGCAACCCAGGAGGGTTCGCTTAGAAAGGATATTGACTGGTTATTTGAGATTGTGAAAAGACTTATTGTTGCCCAGCAGACCCAAAAGGAAAGGAGGGAGCTACCTGATCCTCTCCTGTTACCACGGATTGAGCCACCCCTGCAGCGGGAAGATCTCAAGCCACCCCGATATGACATTGCTCCTCCACGGTACCACCACAGTATGATTCGCAACCCCAGCCACTGCGTCACTCAACACCACCATAATACAATCCGGTGCCTCTACCATATCATCAAGTACAACTGCAGGGCCATCTAGTCCATCCTCAGCCCAGCCCAGTCCCTCATCCACGGGACCCAACACCTCTCATGATGGACCCAGACTACATAAAAATGTATAAAAGACTAAATCCTTCTGTTTTTGCAGGGGAATCCTCATTTGAAGAGGTCGAGTTCTAGTTATCTGAGACAAAGAAGGCCTTCAAGACCCTCAGGGTGATCCCTGAATAGAAGGTCATCCTTGCTACCTACATGCTAATGGGAGAAGTAGACCGCTGGTGGCAACTCAAACAGGCCACCTTGCCATTTCCA